GTACGCAACAGTACCGGTGTAAAACTTGATGATGTTGATGATGATGACGAAGCCATCGCAAGCAATACAACAAAACAAGCAGGAACGAAAGGTACGTATATGTTTGTAGGAATATGAAAAAAAGTTACTCACGCACTGCACAAAATTCGCAAAATAAATATTAGAGACGTTAATTACTGCCGTAGACGCCGAAACACCAACGAGCCGTAAATTACATGCGATTAAAAAATGTACTAAACCAAAAATTATTTTCGTTCGTAACAACTTCACCCTTTCAAGGCAAGTTTCGAATATGAAATGAAGCTTTATATTTAATGAATAAACACCTCAGGAACCTCCGTCTATGATTTTATGAGTTTTACGACCGTTTTATGACTTGGGCCCTCATTTTGTGCTATCGACAAATTATGAACGGACTATAGACATTGAATTTAATTGGTTATCAATAGAGTAAAGGTGATGAAGAACAAATTGTTAAAATTATCAATAAAAAAAATCAGGAAAGATTTGCTATAGGCAAGCTAACATAGGCGTGTTTATTAAATATTAACATTTCAAAAAAATATGTCTCAATTGGTCATCAGATCTCTTACCAGCTCCTGTACTATTATGATGCCACATTTTTTAAGATTGCGCATTAATTCAACACCGGAAAAAGATATACCTATGTCAGATATATGAGTCTCCTTTTCCAAAAATTTTGTAATGCGATAACATTATGATAAGAATCTGCAGTGCAAATTCAATTATTCAAATGTTCACGTAAAATGATATTTTCAAGGCTTTCGGTAGAATTAATGTTAGGAATTGTTATGCAATTATTTTTACTTTAATTGAAGAAACCAAAATTTTCTTTTTCTTTTTGCTGAACCAGATTCCTATTTTCTCCCTTTATTTTTATCTCTCTCAGTGCCTAAGCCCGACATGATTAATGAATTATGAAGAATGCAACAATAGTGCATCCGTAAGCTGTAAACAAGATAATAATAACATTGGTATATGGTAATACATAATAATATTACTTTGTATATTACCTATTTCAGCATTTTACTAACATAAAATGTTTAATACTCGTACAATACTAACACGCATAATGAAAAAATGTGGATTCTAGCCCAATAAATCTAAGGTATGAAACGAATAATAAACATAATTTTCAATCATGTAATATTCAATAAATAAAACAATAACTCACAGGATATTAATTAAGTATGTACCATAAATTCAACAGACGATTCTTTAGGTAATTTTAAGACGAAATGTTCATATTAACATGGGTCCGCAAATCCTTCGTTCTCAAGACACTGACTTTTGTGCCATTTTCATTATTTCTTTGGATTAAGCAATTAGAAATACAACTTTTTTGTCTCTTAATTTTTTTTCGTATCTTACTTAGTTTTTAAGAAAAAAAGTCGACCTTATTGCATATCCCTGGACCTCACAAGGAATAATATGGGGAATTGAATGTTTCTTTTGGAAATTATTATTTTAACAATTTTTCATTACTAATTATGTAACAATAACAACAAATATTAAATAACATTAACATCTAGACTAACGAATTGCACTAAATTAAGTGTTGGAAATGGCCTCCTTTGGGTTCAATACAACCGTCTAGCCGTCGCATCATTGAATTTGAAATAAAGCTGTTATATACCTACCTCCTATATACACGCATAATAGTCCAGGAATATTAGTCAAATGAGTTCAAATATCTCGGAATGGGAGATAGTCAGCTATGAAATTGTATAAACCTTTATTTTGGCTCCCTAAATTTTGTCTCAAAAACCTACTTATCGTAGGATGTCCGCGATTACAGATATTCCAATATCAAAGATAAAAAAATCAATTTTTCACACATTTATTGCAAATATCTCGTTTTCTATGGGTTTCATGCTATCTGTATTCAATCTAAATATTGTAGAAGGATTTAATTCTATAAAACTTTTTTTATATCTTGAACCATTTTCGAGATAGAGGGCAGAGCGCGCAGTGTTTTAACTATTCAGAGTATCATTCGAGGTCAACCTGTAGTCCCGATTGAAAACACGCCGTATAAAGTTTATGAATTATTGATAAAAATGTACGTTTGAGGGTGTCAAAATGAAGGTATATAGAAGTTTATAGCTATCTCTCATTCCGAGGTGAAACCCCTAATATTCCTGGTGTATAACCGAAGTTTTGGATATATTGCTTTACAAACCTGCCATAATAACCTCAATATTATACCTACCTTACAGTTCATGATTTGGATTTTTCTGACATTCCAGACACTCTTATTTCTTTTCTTTTCACTCCAGATGGAGGAAAGACATATTCATAGAAGAAACCAGTATATTCGTAACAGGATTTTCTGGAAACTCCAAAACTCAAAGCGGGGCATGGAAGGATATAGATATTGTGAAAAATAGAGAAAAAAATGTTTACACAAAAGTGACAGATGGTTGTTTTTTTTTTGTAGTATTTGAAAAATGTATCGAAAAAATCAATTTGTTGAAAACACATTGTTTATTAAATAAATAAAGAAAATATGAATTGAAAAAAAGTTAAAAAAAATTTCAAATATCTTGTAAACAGTACATTCGAATGAGCCCTGGATCATAATTTTTGGTGCCTCTGGCCACGTAAAATTAAAATTACCCAACAGGCATGTGTAGTCATTTTTTGGCAAGCGATAGTAGAGAGAAAGCACATCGAAACAGTGGCAAAGAGTCGTGAATTAAATAAACGAAAAATACTTGTGTAAAATCTTTTTTTTTAAGGGAAATGAAACAGTTTCAATTGTTTACTGAGGTTCAGATTTGATTTATTTTCAGGTATGTTGTGGGTGAATTTTGAATCTTAAGATAAAACGTTATAACTGACAGATTTCAAAAGTACTAATTGTAATATTGTACCATTGCAAACATTTTGAAAAAATTAACATATTGAATTTAGAATACTTCATTCTGATATTACCTGAATTGCGATTTTTATTGATGATGTAGTATTTAGAATGAAACCATTTAAAAACATAGTTAAATAAATTTTTTTTGGCGTTTCTGTGAAATTTTTCTGAAAGGAATAGATGAGAAAAATATCCATAATTTTTCATAAAACTATATATTTCATTTAATACATTTAGACTGATGCTTAAAATTATTGATCACAGACTTTACTTAACAACATAAAAACAAGCATATTTTAACTGTAGCAAACAACGTATAAAAATGTAGTAAATGCCTCTCAAAGAATATTAAATTTTATTTTTACTCAGTTTTTCTAAAATACTTATGGTCTTCATTTATGTAAATGCATTGAAATCTTCATGTCAAAATATTATTGAAACAGATATCTATTGTATTCTACTAGCAGATGGGATGCTATTTAGTTCAAAATTAAAAATTAAATGCTAATGTTCATGTTAGTACCATTTATAAACCAATATTGTTGATCAATATAATCAGAAAACCAAATAAATATGTAAATATTTGATTCATCAATTACAGTTTTTTATCACCACAGATAGATTATGAGAGTGTACAATTTTCAACTCATCTATATAAATAAACATTCCCTGAAAGACAGCAATTTATTTAAGATTTTGTGTTTCGGGCCTTCCTATGATATTTAAAAAACCGAACAAGCGAATAGGGAGGTTGACTGAATTCAAATGAAAATTTAACACAGGTCGAATGTTTTCATAAAAGACATCCTAAAACACAATATTTTTTTTATTTTTATAATAATTTTTATACCAAATATCATGGATGCCCATTCTCACTCTCACTTTGTAAACTTCTACTTGGCAAAATTAAATAGGTGACTTATAATGAAATACTATAATTACTTTCTGAAATGAAGCAAGTACAAATTATTAGTAGGTGCATCAAAATGATCTTCACAGAAATCATAGTATAAAGATGATATCTTTATACTATCTTTTATTTTTATACTAGGCAGAAATATATCAAATACAGGTCAGGCTGTAACGTGTATGACGGATCTCTGAGTAATAAAAATCAATTTTAAATATTATTTTCCTTATGTGGAACGTAGATAAATAACTATTCGGGTGGTTGTGAACCGTAGTATTTGTACATTAAAGGCACCGCACCAAACTTATCTTTTGTTAAAAAATGATTAAAAACTGTTTCTCTTCTTAGCAGTTTACCAGAGTTTGGGAATACATGACGTCATAGCGCTCATGTTACATGTATTGGAAAGCGAAAGCGAAATTTGAAACGAAATTTAAAGTATATGATTTATGAAGTATTGGTTTGTTATTTAGAAAAAAATAAATATTTTGGGCTTTATTTACAGTACCAAACCAAGTCAAGGGATGCGGCAAGGAACGCAAATGCCTCAGAACCAATACATGAATACGATATTTCTGATGTACACCAATCACCAATCAAAAATAAATAGAATTAAATTCTGATTTGACTTTACCGCATTAAACATAGATCATAACCTAATGATAAATAGATAGTAGGTAGTTTTTTTTCAAATTTTCTATCAGCGACAATATTTACATACAAAATTAACTTAGAAATTAACCAGTAGCGTAGATTTTAAATCAAATCTGTATTTTTTGAAATCTGGTGTGTAGGTGTAGTTATTTTCAATGTTTTTTCATTTAAAGTAATCAATATCTATCAGTTTGATGTTTTGTTCAAATAATTATTCGTCTAAGTGTTAATATAAATTTTTATTACATGTTCGTTATCACAATTTTATTATAAGTAAGCGCCTTCATTTTACAAGTAATTTTATTGTTTTATTAACCTAAATAACGAATTTTATTATTGAACAATCATAGAGTTATTTTTATTGGATTAAAAAAATATAACTGATTTTAAACTTTTCCCAAAAATTGTCAACATACCCATTACATATCATATGCGAAAATACTGCAGGTATTATAGTCGGAAACACAAGAAAAAGAGTTTAGTAGTTGAATTAATCAATCTGTATTTGATAAGAATAATTTGTATTATGGTCTTTAAAAAAAAATTGAAAAAATTTGAATTACATTTATTCATTAACTTAGATTATTTACATCTTTAACAGAAAGTTGCTACTTATGAAAATGAATATTTTCAGAAGAGAAATAATATGAGTGCGAACCATAAAAATGTTACACTTTTGGTCAAAATTGTTTGAATTTTTGAATTCAACTTCTAGAAATCACTCCTATCACTCATACATATTTCATATCAAATTTTGCTGGAGATATTCAGAAAGTAAAGTAAGAAGCAAGCTATTTTGTGTGCAATTTTTCCAGATTACTTCAAACTCCATATAGATTATCTGCCATGAATTAATTTCAGTTTCAGAATATAGTGTACAAATCGGTTTCAGTAATGATGTGTTGAAGTAGTTCTCATAAGATCACTGGAATCTGTAGAAATTCACAAAATAGAACGTGTTTTAACATGAGATCACGTCATTCAGAGTTACCAGTTCTGGGAAATCTGACGATAACTTAAGGTGGGTATCCATATGAGCCAATGGGCCGTAACGTAACACCGTAGTTTTGGCTGTATCAATCATTTCGTAACGTAACCGAACGAGAAACGAAGTCGCATGCAATAGTGGTTCGATTTGTAGGCGCACATCCATGTGGGTCAATGGGCCGTAAGGTAACACCAGCTCGTTGCAAGATGACAAGATTCGCGTCAGGAAGCATTTTGACGTATCAGTCATTCAAGCCAACGCTGCATAAGACAGACAAAGATGTGTGATACATATATACTCGTCCAGCTTGTCGCCGTACGTAACTAACAATCTTTTGATGCGACGGCTAAAAACAGACAAATGGTGCTTCGGCCTTTACGGCTACACGTGTCAAAGTGGTACGGATAAAAATGCAACAGTACTCCGTTTCCACTAGCCGTAACGTAACGAGTTAGCGGTTACTTTATGGGCCATCTGTAACAAGTGAATACGCACCTGAAGAATATGCATGTCAAAGTGGTACGTATAAAATGCAACAGTACTCCGTTTCCACTAGCCGTAACGTAACGAGTTAGCGGTTACTTTATGGGCCATCTGTAACAAGTGAATACGCACCTGAAGAATATGCATGTCAAAGTGGTACGTATAAAATGCAACAGTACTCCGTCTCCACTACCCGTAACGTAAGCACCTTTGAGAACTCATAAGAAAGCACACATCAGTATTGAAAGCAATACTAGAACAGGAAAAATCATGTACACGCCCATTCTTGGCTTACAAGTACTAGTGAGCAGAGTAATGTCGTCAGCTTCATGTTCGATTCCATCTCGTGTAGGCACTTCCACTATCACTGTTCCATCAGAAAAAAAATTAATGGGAAATTCGCATTGAGTCTGATTCAAACATTCATGGCCACTACTAGCATTCGCGAATCCATATGTGGGTTTATATATATTGAAAACCGCGTGTATATCGTTCTTGACAAAATCATTGTCTGAGTAGAAAATATAGTAATAGTATCCGTCCGATACCACCGTATGTTCTGTCACCATGTGATTGCTCTGATCCAAATAATCCATGGAATTGCATAGTCGACTCGGCACGAATCCTCGTGATAGCAAGATTTTACTGTCGTAGCATTTGAGGAGGTCTGTTTCAAAACTGGAAACACTGTCGCTCTCCAAATTTATATCATCTGTAAAATTCATCGCGTTTCCTCCATGTTTGATTTTGGAATCCAGAGGGGATATACTCCTTTTCGGTCGACTTTCAGTTCCTGGAAAAATACAAACAAGAAAATTTCCTCTACTGAAATAAAAAAAGCAATTGAAAATATATCATAGTTCAGAATTAAACAAGCATCATCAATTAATAGATATAGTACAACTTTTGGCCTTCTACTTCTCCATCTTGATTCAAAAAATATGGGAATCTTCCAAGAAAGAAAAGAAGAAATCAATTTCAAAAAATAATTCTATACAAAGATGTGTAGATCATGCAAAGAAGTAACTTTCAGGCACACACTGGAAAAAAAAGCTCATTCAAAACAGTTACTTTCATATAAACATTGAATTACACGAAAGGAAAATACTTTCGAAACAAATACTTTTCTATGAACACTGAATTATACAAAAAACTTTCTCTATTCAGTTTATATTCCAAACATTCGTTATGGAATTGAATCAGATATCATTCACAGGATTCCTACACAATATTGCAAATGAAATTTCACTTCCTCACTGGTATACATCCGATTTTTCGCCGTAAGACAATTGCCTTATCAGCTGTTCAGTACCAAATCTAGATAACATCATAAGAGAAAACACACAATTCATTCATAAGAGCACGACTTTATGCCACGGAATGAGTTTGATCTACTCATGTCATCGATGACATGGAAATGACATTGATTCGCTTATTTGAAATGGGCATATTTTTAGGTTCAATCATTGAAGATGAAATAAAATATTGACAAACAGTACCAATTTGCTTTTCCTTGGGGGCGGATGCCATTCTTTCTCGGGAATATTCTTCTGATGGATTTACGTGATGATGTCAATAAGATTCACTGAGAAACCTAATTTCACTAGTTCGGACTTCCATTGTCTATTATATAAAATGATTTGAAATCCCTGAAACAAGTAAAAAAGAATAATTAAAAAGAATAGTTGAAAATAACAATTATATTAAGCAACAATAAACCTGAAATGAAATGATAGTGAAATAACCTACAAGTAAAAATATAATAATTGAATAAATAAAAATTAAAGGAATGCAAAAA